TTGCAAACAGTCCCTCTGTCCCTTCCCTCGGCCTCCAGAATTCCCTCTGCAGGAGTCTCTTTTCCCATCTCTCAGAGGAGCCCTGATTCTGTTTCTGTTCCCGACACCGACATGGTCTGTTATCAAATAACAAATGGTTGGGAATTTTTGGTGGTTCCTATTTCTGTTTGTTGGGTTTTCCCCAGGCCTGGCCCAAGTTGACCAACAGAATCTGGGTGAGTCCCGTGAGGCCCCAAGGCTTCGAAGGAAACTCCAGCCTCCACTCCACCCCCCACCCCCCAGCGTTTTCCGCCTCTTCTCCTGCCCTGGGAAGGAAGTGAGGAGGGGTTCAGGCCAGGGCTGCAGAACAGGAAAGGGGGACCCTCTGCAACCAGAATCCCTCTTAGTCCCCTAGTCTCCGCCTTCCAGGGCTGATGGCCAGTGTGAAAGAAGGACTGGACCCTTGTGCCTACAGAGCCCTGGTACCCAGTGGCTCGGGCACTGAGGAAAGCACTTTGCCCGGCCTCAGACTGCCAGGGAACCGAAGCTAGTCCTCTCCGCTGGGCTTCTTCCTGTTATAGGTTTTTATTATTAGAACTCTGGCTGGTTCTCTGAGATTTCAGAATCCTTCTCAGAGTTGCTTTTGGTTTGATCGCATCCTTAGACTCTGCTCTCACATCTCCCTGGGGTCTGTCCTTGAAGATGTTGGTATTTGAATGGCCTCCTAGTCCTAAAGGAAAACAGAGCTTATCAAAGGGTTCTCCGCCTGAAATAAAATAAAAACAAACAAAAACAAAAGTTCCTCAGTAGAACATCCCGAAGCGAGGGGCTTGTCTTAGGCTGTCCCAGCATCACACAGGACTTTCCGGAGGAAGGCAAGGGGACTGTGTTGAAAGGGGACCGTGTTGGGGCTGGAGAGATGCACCGTGGGTAGCTGTGCCCGGTATGGCATTGATTTGAGGGTCAGATTGTTGGCTTGTGAGGGGACCCTGGCAGAAATGTAGGGCTACAGTGGGCTCCTGGACTCCCAAATCTTGAACCCGCAGCCAATTCCGGGTTCTATCCTGGCACTCTGTGTGCTCCCCCAAGTACTGCCAGGAGTGATCCCTGAGTGCAGAGCCAGAAGTAAGCTCTGAGCACTGCTGAGTGTAGCCCCTCCCCCCCAAAAAAGAAAAATGCAAAGAACCAATGTCCCAGACACACAGACATCAAATATTTTTCATTTAATCACTCTGATGGAATTGCTCCCAGGTTTAGAAACGGTGGAGCCAGAGTTGGTCATGATCTGACCCACACTCAGTGTCTTTTGCTTCTGTTCAGCCAAGGTCTCAGGCAGGAGTTAGGAAGAACTTTACCCAGCATCTCCCTTACCAGATTCTGCATCTCTGACAGAGCCTGGAACTATTTCAGGTTTACTCCCTGACTGTCCCTGGAAGTCAGGAAGCGGCACACGTTCGTAATGTGGATCAGGTGAAGGCAGAAGCCTTATCCCTGGCCTGTCCCTAGACCGACCTCGTCTTTGTCATCGTCTCCTACCTACCCTGTGGCAAGACAGATTTCTTATGAAAGTGCTGGGGTCCAGCGCTCTTCCCACTTTCCTCTTTACACTTCGGCCCAGAGAAGCCAAGAAGGCCAGCCTGCCTGCTCAGAATGTGCCCCCTCAAAGCTCTTGATGAGAGGATAGGGCCAGCGGTCAGAGCTGGGTCACTGTCTCTGTTTTATCCATCTAGGGTCCATCTGTTCAGCCAGGTCCTTGATGTAACTCTTTTGTGTTCTTTTTTTTTTAAATTTTATTGAATCATCGTGAGATAGTTACAAGCTTTCATGTTTGGGTTACAATCACACAATGATCAAACACCCATCCCTCCACCAGTGCACAGTCCCCACCACCAATATCCCCTGTATACCCCCCCCCTTTCCCACCCTCCCCCTGCCTCCATGGCAAACATGATTCCCCATAATCTCTCTACTTTTGGGCATTATGGTTTGCAGTACAGACACTGAGAGGTTATCATGTTTGGTCCTTTATCTACTTTCTGCACACATCTCCCATCCCGACCGATTCCTCCAGCCATCTTTTTCTTAGTGATTCCGTCTCTATTCCAGCTGCCTTCTCCCCTTTGCTCATGAGGCAGGCTTCCAGCTATGGAGCAATCTATCTGTCCTGTGTATCTACTATCCTTAGGTGTCAGCCTCATGTTATGTTGTTTTATACTCCACAAATGAATGCAGTCCTTTTATGTCTGTCCCTCTCTTTTCACTTAGCATGATGCTCTCCATGTCTATCCATTTATAAGCAAAGTTCATGACTTCATCTCTCCTGACAGCTGCATAGTATTCCATTGTGTAGGTGCACCAAAGTTTCTTTAACCAGTCGTCTGTTCCAGGGCACTTGGGTTGTTTCTAGATTTTGGCTATTGTGAGCAGTGCTGCAATGAACATATAGGTACAGATGTCATTTCTACTGTGCTTTCTTGCATCCTCGGGATATATTCCCAGAAGTGGTATTGCGGGGTCCTATGGAAGCTCAGTTTCCAGTTTTTGAAGGACTGTCCATATTGTTTTCCAGAAAGGCTGGACTAATGGGCATTCCCACCAACAGTGAAAGAGTGAAAAAGGGGCACTCTTTCGTGTTCATAAGCGAGAGTTCGCTAAGGGAATGATTTTGCCCCATCTCTTGTCTCAAGCCTCAGTGGCCCCAAATGTTTCCTCTGCTGTTCACCTGGAGAGGAAGTTTGAGGCCCCAGCCACTGACAGGTGGCTGAGAGAGGAAATTAGTGTGGGAGGATATAATGTCTGTCACGGTAGAGAAAGACTGCCCCACCCCCATCACTTTCAGGGGCGACAACAGAAAACTATGCTTGTTCTGTTTTGGGGAGGGATGGCAGAGGACAGAAAACGCTCAGCATGTGCCCAGAGGCAGAACCAGGCTTGATTTTGCTCTAGGCTCACCGTGATCAGCTGACCGTCCTGGAAAATCTTGCTTCCAGCCCTCTTTGACCTATAGGCCCCTGTGGCCTCCCGCACCTATCCTGCTACCCACACAGAGAAGCTGAGGCGGACTCCTGGCAAAGGAGTACTAGCAATGGATTTGTATCTGCTTTATTCCATGGGCAGTGGGGCGATTCCACTGGCCCCTCCCTGCTGATTCGGGGGTAGTGATGACCCAGGGAAGAGGTTTTCTGTGGTTTAATCTTTCCCCTGATTTTCCTTACCTGCCACAGTTCCCATTCCTGAATTCTTTCCTGTCTAAACTCTGAGCAGAGACCCCCACGAACCCTCCTTCCTTTTCTGAGCCTTAATCCCCTGCATCCTGCCAGGAACTGGGCCTGAAACTCAGAGTGGTTTCACCAACACCTACTCTCCACTGGTGCCCGGGATGGGCTTAGACATCCCCGTGGAATAGACACTTCCAGCGGAACTGTTTCCGCCAGCACAGTGCGCGTGTGTAGATCAGTTCATAAGGAACGAATGTGTGTGGCAGGAGTAAACGATCTTTGTCTCCGTTTTTTTTTTTCCCCCACTTTCTTAGAAAATCTAGGGCCTTCTCTCACGATATCCGTGCTACTGGAGTAGCGCGGAAGTCACCTGTGTGACTTTTCAGGACCCGGAGAGCACATGACGTCCCCAGAGTAGGGATGTCAAGGAAAGGGCAGAGGTAGACCCAGTGAGACCTGAGAGCAGGAGGGGGAGGAGAGTGAGGAGTCGCTTGCAGTGACCTGGGGAGAGGCGGGGGCAAAGGCAGAAGGACTCCCTTGAAGGATTCAGTGATGGGAATGAAGGAGGGACACAGGGTTGCTGGCCCGCATGGGGCCCCCATGGGTGCCCGGTGGATCATAAATAAACTAAAATGATGAGTGTCTCAGCAAGGGGTTGAGTACTTTATTGTGTCTTAATTCATTGGGAGATGTATCATAACTTTTGTTTGTGGGAGGTGGAGGCACAGGTGGTGCTTAGGACTTAACTCCTGGCCCTGCTCAGGGATCACTCCTGGTGGTGCTCAGAGATCACTCCTGGGGATCACTCCTGGTGGTAGCACTGTAGCACTGTCCTCCTGTTGTTCATCGATTTGCTCCAGCGGGCACCAGTAGTGTCTCACAAGAAATTGTGAGACTTGTTACTGTTTTTGGCATATCGAATACGTCACAGGGAGCTTGCTAGGCTTTGCTGTGTGAGCGCTTGCTGGGCTCTCCAAGAGGGACGGAGGAATCGAACCTAGGTCGGCCGCGTGCAAGGCCCTACCCGCTGTGCTATCGCTCCAGCCCAGTGGTGAAGGGGAGCATATATGGTGCTGAGATCAAGGCAAGTGCCTTAACCTGCTGTACTCTCTCTCCAGTCCTAAGTACTAAAATTTTATAAATTATCTCCTGAAGAAAGTGAGCAGCTATCTTTATGACAGTGCAGCGTACTCTGATGTGGGGAGTTGCAGCTGCTTCTTGGGGCTCAGGATCCACCCTTCTTTCAGGCAAGGGGCAACAGGTTAAAAAATGCTGCTTTAATTTGCAGACTTCAAGATGTTTTTGCGGGGAGAGATAGTACAGCGGGTAGGGCGTTTGCCTTGTACACGGCCGACTTGGGTTCGATCCCCGGCATCGCATAGGGTCCCCCAAGCACCGCCAGGAGTAATTCCTGAGTCCGGAACCAGGAGTAACCCCTGAGCATCACTGGGTATGACCCAAGAAAAAAAAAAAAAAGATGTTCTTGCTTTCTCAATATTTATAGCATGACCTGTGTCTGCCTGTGTATAGACATAAAATGTAAAAGAAACAAGCTTCATGGAACATTCATATTTTCTACTTGCAATTTATAGCAGTGTGTATCTCAACTTATTATTTTGATTCTACAATCTATGGTCGGAAGCCATCCCTCAGCCAAACAGAACTCAGTGTGAAGGGGTCCAGGCCCGACAAATCTGCTGTCTTGCTGTTAGAGCATCAGGGTGAAGCCAAGGGTTCAGAAGAGGGACCCTGCAGTCATATAGGATTCCTTTCAGACCCACTGACCAGCTTCCTCTTCCTCAGAGCTCCATGAACCTGCCTCCCGACAAGGCCCGGCTCCTGCGACAGTATGACAATGAGAAGAAGTGGGATCTCATCTGTGACCAGGTAATGGACTTCTGGCCAGGTTGGGAAACTGGGACCAGGCAAGAAGAGCCTGAGGCTTGGGCTGATCGCAGCCCCAGGTTGGCCTCACTCTGTGCTCCCTGTTCCAAGGAGACGCTTAATAGGCAGGGCTGATAGACTAAATTCTCCAGCTCTTGCAAAGAAAGAGCTGTCTTGATTTCTTTGCAGTGGACAGTGGCAGGCCTGGGGGGTGGGGGTTGACTCAGAGAAATCCACTCCCAGTTGGGCCTGTTTCTGCCTTTCTCAGAGAGGTCAGCCCAAAGGCCCACTTCTCATCCTTCACTTTGCCTCAGATCTTGCAGAGAGCAGGGTTCTTATCACCTGTGGGGCTCGGGGACCGAGACGCTCAGTCCCCTGGCCTTTCCTCCCAAGTCTGTGGACTTAAAGACTGGAAGCGCTTCCTGCATGAATAGTATTTAGAGCTGGGAGAGGATTTAAAGGTTGTTCATTGCCTCAGATTCCAGGAGGAACACCTGCAGCCTCTTCTTTCCCCAGCACACACTCACAGGTCACGGGGCCCAAGTCCTGAACCTGGGCAGGCCTGCCTTTGGGGCTGAAGCCGGCTCTTACTTCCTAACCGCCGAGGACGTGTGGAAGCACCTGGCAGACCCGAGACATGTTTAACCAGCTCTGTTGCCGGGAAACTGTCATAAATAAGCGAGTCCGCTCTTCTGCCTCCCAAGGCATGTGCTTGGCCGAGGCAGGAGCGCCTAGTGCATATCCCGTCTCAGTGACCCTTTGGTGGTGGGTTTTTTTTGGTGGGAGTGAGGAGGAAGAGGGTCAGGGGATCCCAGCTATACTCCACCGACTGGGCAGGATGTTTCAGTGCTTGGGTCCAAGGGTTGTGCTATTCTAGCCCTTTTCAGGGACCACCAGCGCCATACCTGATGTCCATGCAGTGCTGAGGATCGAACTGGCGCCCTGCACACACAAAATGCGTACCACTCACCTTCGTTATCTTCCATGACCTGGGAGTGGGTTTGGGTGGTTTTTTTTGTTTTTGTTTTTGTTTTTTTGTTGTTGTTGTTGTTGTTTTCTGTTTGGGTCACACCCAGCGATGCACAGAGGTAACTCCTGGCTCATGCACTCAGAAATTACTCCTGGTGATGCTCGGGGGACCAAAAGGGATGCTGGGAATTGAACCTGGGTGAGCCACGTTCAAGGCAAGCGCCTTAACCCGCTGTGCTGTTGCTCCAACCCCCTGGGAGTGGGTTTTCTTAAGTTTAATCTTTTCATCTTTCCAGGGTTACATGACTTCAACACTTAAACCTTGTGTTTTTGTCCCCATTTTAGTTTTTGGTTTTGCTACCTAACATTGGATCGTTCTCCTAGACTTTTACGACCCCGGGACCCTCCCTCTCAGGGCTGGGATGCTCCAGTCCTCCCAGATGGTGGCCATAAAATGGGAAGGCATGGGCCAGGGTGGACGAGGCCTGAGAGATAACCTTGCTGAGAGCAGGCTCAGTGCTAAGGTTGTTCTGGTTTGTCAGGGTCTGGGCAAGGAGCAGAAGTTGTCTTGACAGCTCTGAGCCGTGTTGTTGCCGTAAAAGTAACACGAAACCAACTTTAGGCCTGAGGGCTTGGAAAGCTCATTCTGATGAGTTTCCTGTGGTCCTTCTTCACCTCCATTAGTCAACCAGGGTCTTTATTTTGGACATAGACATCTTAGTAAGCAGCAGACTCTGAAAATAACGTCTTTGTTTGGGTCGTCCAAGCAGTGCTGAGGAATATTGTCACTTGGCCAACTCGGATGGACAGTTCCATGTTTGTGCCTGGTAGCACAATGCTGCGTATGCCCGGCAGTGCGGGGGGACACCAGGGCTACCCTCAGTGGTGTGTGGCACCATCAGGAACTATACCCGGCAGCGATGGGGATTGTATCTGGTGCTGGAGGTCAAACTTGTGGTATCACGCATACCAGGCTGTGCCCCAGCCCTTGAAAAGAATCCTTTAGGATAGAAAAGTCTGTCAGGTTTAGGAGCAATGGTTGGAAGAGGAGAAAATGTGGAGTACTGGGAAATGCCTGAGGATCAGTTGCTTTGGGTGATGGAAGACTCGGTCCCCTCACAGCTGAACTCGGAGTGGCCTTCTTCCTCACACACCCCTCAGGATTCTCTGGGTACGTTTTGTGTTTCCCTTCCAGGAAAGGTTCCAGGTGAAGAATCCTCCCCACACCTACATCCAGAAACTCCAGAGCTTCCTGGACCCCAGTGTAACCCGGAAGGTGAGGTGGGCAGCAGGGAGCCTGTGGGGTTGCTCTCGAGGGGCGCTGGCGTCTGAGGGGTGAGATTTCTGCCTTTCAGGGCCTGGCTGCAGTGGCTGGCTAGTGGAGAGGGAAGACTGTAACTGCCCTTTTGTGTTTCTTTCTTTTTTCTGCCCTGTTTACCCCTTCCTGTGAAGCTGGGTTGGGGGTCTCCATCAGTGACAGAACATTCTGTGTTTATAGAAGTTCAGGAGGAGAGTGCAGGAGTCAACCAAGGTACTGAGGGAGCTGGAGATCTCACTGCGGACCAACCACATTGGGTGAGTCAGATCGGAATAGCAGAGTCTCCCTCACAGCTGACTGCAGGCTGGAGCAGGCCACGCGGGACCTGGTGCCATCTCCTGATTCTCTGCCTGCCAAGGGGACAGAGCTGCCCCTTCAGTGGTTTTTGGCTCCTCGGCTTCCTTGACTGGCACAACTCTTGTTGCCAGCTGTTGGCGGGGGGGCGGGGGGGGGGGGCTTTCAGGGGTCCTGAGCTTGTGGCCTCGAGTGAAGATGTTCCCAGAGCCGCTGAGACGGGAGGCTGCCTGTGGCCGGGGACTGGGCCAGAAGAGGCCCAGACAAGGCTGGCGTTGGCAGTGAAAGGCGAAGGGGTGGGGGGTGGGGGGAGCTGGGGAGGCCACACGTAGGATGACGGGACGCGTTGGACTGAACAACAGAGACCTGGTTCCTGGACATGTGGTGCCCAGAAGATTATTTGCTTGATTATAAGACAAGTCTTAGTTCACAGCCAAGGCAGCTTCCTGAAACCCCAGGAAAGGAGGTCCTGGTGGTGGAGCCAGGAACTGGACGCCACGGTAGTGCCAGCCCCTTGACAGGACTCCTGGGGCCTGTGTGGTTTCTTTTTCTCAGTCTCTGAGTCAGGAAGTGGGCCTTGGTGAGCAGGCTGAGGGCCGCTATGTGAGACAGAGGAGAGCAGAGGCCTCAGAGCCAGCGTGAACAGTGCCGGCGGGTATAGTGAAGGGCGGGGGGCAGGAAGGGCTTTCTGAGCCTCAAGTTCAGAGAGGGCAGCTGGTAGGGTTCACAGGCAGGGCTGCAGTGGTGGAGAAGTCGAGCCTGGGGTGGGGTGCTGGCACCAAGTTCTTGAGCTTCCCCAGAGCAGGGGTGGGAAGGATTGCACGATACATCACCTGTTTGCGCACCGAAGCATGCATAGCCCTCCTTTGTGCATGCTAAGCTTGGTGGGGCTCCCACAAGGCCTCCTGCATGGATCAACTGCCACAGAGCAGCCGTGGGGGACGGGGCGTGGAAGGCACAGAGGAGGGACAGCTTTGGTCTCATGGGCTGGGCCTGGTGGCCAGAACTGGCTTTGACACCTCACCCATGAACCGCGTTTTGAAAGCTGATCCGCTGGGAAATACCTCGCTAAGCCTTCATCTTTGGTGAATCCTTGGAGAAGGGGAAACTCCGCCTGTGTGCGTGGGCAAGTGTGTCCCAGGCAGTCGCTCTGAACGTGGCAGCCTGTCACACCACCTTCCTTCCTAAGGCCTCCCCCTCCTCTCGGATCCTTGTCTGTCTTCCTTACCAAGCCTTACAGCGCGAAGAGGGCTACAGGGGCGGGGGGTGGGGGGTGACAGCCCCTCTACTTGTCCCTTCTACCTGCTGCGGGCCCCTCTGGCTCCGGGCCAGAAGTGGGGGCTGGGGCATCATGGTTCCCAGGCCTGGGGCCTCGGGCAGCTGGCACACAAGCTGGAGGTCTGGACCCGGTCCTTGGTTCCCAGGGAACAGCTTGGTGTCTGGCATTTCAGCGGCTCCTGTCATCTGAACTGTGACTTCTCTGGGTAGAATGATGTGGGAGGGCCAGGATCCTTCCCGGATTTCTGGGCAGGAAGAGTTTGTCCGGCTGTCAGTCTGCTCAGGGCCAGGTGGCGTGAGGCGTCTTCTGCTGACCGCCCCGGTCTACCCCAAGGCCTGCCGAGGCCGGTGTGCAGGGCGGGCTGGTGGCAGCTCTGTGCTGGAGCAGAGGCAAGCCGGGAAGCCGGAGCCCGAGCCTCCCTGAGAAATCTCCCCTCCGTTTGGATAGGTTTCTCCGTTCTGCCTAAGTGCCCTTTAACCTCTCCGCAAAGTGTCAAGATCCCGAAAATAGCAGTGTAGACTCAGACAGGAAATGAGAAGGGGGTGGGGGGCTGGAGAGCAGACAGACAGGAAACGGGAGGCCTGTCCGCCCCCAGAGAGGAAGCTAACTTCAGGCAGCTCCGGTGTCAGCCAGGCTGGCCCAGAGCCGGCTGCCAGATCGCAGCCAGACTGGGCTCCAGCCGGCCGCTGGCCAGGGGTGTGGCGGCCAGCATGGCGCAGGCGCTGCGGGGCCTCCACCTCTCTGCCGGCTCCCTGACCGGCCCGGATGTTCTGAGGAGATGCTGGCATCGGGGTTCTCTGCACCGTGGGGCGAGCCTGTCTCCTCCGTCCTGGGACTCACCGTTCCCACGGGCCTCCGGATGTAATGCCAGTGGCCAGGGCCACTGTCTGCGGTGCTTGGCCTGTCTGCCTCCCTAGCTGAAGGGCTCGAGTCCTCAGGCTGGTCTCGGGGGTTTTAGCCATTTTTTTAAAAAAATTTTATTAGTGAAACACCATGAGGTACAGCTGTAGACTTAAAAACTTCTGTGCTTGGGTTTCAGTTATACAGTGATCGAGTACCCTTCCCTTCGCCAGTGCCCATTTTCCACTGATCCCAGTATCCCTCCCACCACCCCCATTCCTCCCATCCCACCCTGCCTCTGTGGCAAGGCATTCCCTTTTATTCTCTCTCTCCTTTTGGGTGCTGTGGTTTGCAAAAGAGGCACCGAGTGGCAATCATGTTCGGTCTAGAGTCTACTTTCAGCATGCTTCTCCCACCCTGGGAGTATCCTCACAACACCCTTTACTTGGTGCTCCCTTCTCTGTCTGAGCTGCCTTTTCCCCCAGCGTGTGTGGCTGGCCTCCAAGCCATGAAGCCAACCTCCTGGCACTTATCTTGGCTATTCTCGGGTGTTAGTCTCCTATTTTGTTACTTTCTGTCCCTCGGTTTTAGCCATTTTGGAGTTACCGGGAGTTCTAGACTCCTCCCCCATCCTGTCCTGATTCCTGAGCTCACCTGACAGACTCCCTCCGAGCCGCCTCTTTTCAGAACTTGCCCTGGTAGCTTTTCGTGAACTCGGTGAAGGGCCCGTGCCCTCCTGTGCCTCTGTTCAGAGTTTGTTGTCACCCTCTTGCCTGTATTGTGGTTGGGGCAAGTTGGGGGCCTGCTGACTTCTCTCAGGGCAGCCTCTGGGAGTGCTCCTGGTACCTGCCCCCTCGCCCCTCCCCCTGCTGTCTTCCACCAAACACGGTAAGGATTTGGCTCATTGCAAAAGGTACCTCATGCATGGAAGTCCAGCCCGCCTCCAGGGCCGCAGGAGGACCTGATAAGCCCCCTCGACCCTGAGGATGGGCACCGGAGAGCTCACGTGGCTGCCAGGATTGGAAAGCTTCTGCCTCATGCCATCTCCGACCTTCACCAAGGAGGCTCCAGGCTGGTGACCTAATCACCAGTGGTCTGTGAGCTTGGATCTCCCCAAAGTTCTTGGCCTGGTACTGAATTCCGGAGGGTCCTACCTCCCCCCTCTCCTGACTCTGCACCCACTCAGATCCCTCCTTCCTCTGTCTGCTTCCTCTGCAGATGGGTGCGGGAGTTTCTGAATGACGAAAACAAAGGCCTGGACGTGCTGGTGGATTACCTGTCCTTCGCCCAGTGTTCTGTCATGTGAGTACCCAGGGCTCAGGCTGGGGACCAGTGAGGGGGGACAGCGCCCTCTTGATTGGCCGAGGCAGGGGGAGGTTGCGGGAAGGAGGCGGAGGGCGGAGACCCGGCAGAGGTGTGGGATGCCGCTGGAAGGGAGTGGAGGACAGGACCCAAGAAGCTCCAGGCTGGGGGCTGGAGCAATAGCACAGTGGGTAGGGCGTTTGCCTTGCATGCAGCCGACCCGGGTTCGATTCCCAGCATCCCATATGGTCCCCTGAGCACTGCCAGGAGTAATTCCTGAGTGCAGAGCCAGGAGTAACCCCTGTGCATTGCCGGGTGTGACCCAAAAATGCAAAAAAAAAGAAAAAAAGAAGCTCCAGGCTGGACACAGCATGAGGAAACCCCCCGGCGTGGAGGACATTCTGCTTCCTTGGAGAGATGTCTCCTGAGGCTTTCGGGAGGGTGGGGGGGGGCGCCCTGTGTGAGAGGCTGACCCCAGAAGCAGTGAGCGTGGGCTTTGACCCAGATAGAAAAGGAAGCCTCGGGATCCCTTTCTTTCTGTTTCTGGTGCCTGGGATGGGACCAGGGTCTCCCACATGTGAGCAGACGCATTCCTGGAGCCACACGCAGCAGCTGTTTTCGAGCTCACTGGGGACTCAGGCAGCTGACATGAAGTGTGGGGCAGTGGAGAAGGAACAGGGACCCTCAAGGATTTCAGAGTTGGGTCTTTGTCCCAGTTGATTTCCATGTGTCTTGGGAAGTTTCCGTAAGAGGGGTCCATATTCTGGAGTCCTCATAAGAATCATTAGATAATGAGATTGAGGGATGTGACTCAGTGGCTGGTCACTTGTCTTCACGTGCATCACGCCTTGAGTTCAATCACTGGCACCACATGGTCCCCTGAACCCTGCCAGTGGTGTCTTGCAAGCACGAGCTAGGAGTAGCCACTGAGCACAGCTGGGTGTAGCCCAATCCCCCCTCCATTTTAAAAATTTTAATTAGAAAATGAGCGTAGGGCACTTCATAATGTTGGCAACACATAGTGTCTGTACCGAGGGAGCTGCTCTGTTGTTGCTGTGATCCACCAGGGTGCCCTCCCGTACCACCTGGGCGTGTGGACAGGAGTGGCAGGATCGTACACAGGATGCCTGACGCTGTCTGACACCCAGGCTGGTCCGCCCTCGCTCGACCATCTTCCTGGTTTGCCCTTGACTTTTTCAGTGTTAGCCCAAAAGCGTTGTGTCTTGGGGAACATGGTGCCTTGTCTTCCACTCTTTTTGTCGCTGTCCTTGCCCTGCCTGTCCTCTGCTGTCCAGTTTCCCTTTCGTCATGTCTCTTAGGAGAGTTAAAGTGACTTCTGTCCTGGGCTTGGTCTCTCACCCTGTGAGAATGAAAAGCAGTCCACTCCCAGCCCAACAGTGCTCATGCCTCGGGATCCTCCTGTTCCTTTAAAATCTGCTTTTTTTATAGGAAAAAATGAAAAACATTTGCTAAAGTGATTTTTTTTTAATTCAGGGTTTTTATAGTAAAAAGATGCAGATCATTTTTCCAAATAAGCCTATCTTGCTTAAAACACAAACAAATTCCAGCGCTCTAACCCAAAATACGCTGGAGCCTTGGCCCTGTGGCGTCCCCAGCAGCAGCGAGCCGGGCCTGGAGTGTCTTTGAGAGAAAGCAGTGCGGGCAGCGGAGGGCGGGAGCATTTGGGCAAGGAGCCCCACGGCTGCGTGCAGGCATGTGTTTGTGGCCTCCTGTGTGTGTGCAGGGAGGACTGTAGTTGAGCGAGGGAGCCACTGGTGAGCTGCCCCTTACTGGGTCACACCCTCCCGTGCCTCTGTGAGCACCCCTGAAACTTCTCTGAGCAGGAGAAATCTGCTTCTGCTTACTTTGAAGCACTCCGGCTCCTGGGAACATGCTTCAGTCTCAGAAAGCCTCAGTTTCTGCTCGGCTGCTGGGCTTGTCCCAGCAGAAGCTCCTGAGGGGTGTTGCTGGGTCCTTCCTGACGTGTGGGGGGACGAGGCCAGGAAAGAGGAGTGGGGCTTGTATCTCACGTGGGTATGTCCCCATGGGGAGGGATGCGAGGGAAAAGCCCCTATGGACAGGGCGTCCTTGCCCTGCACTCACTGCCGTGGGAGAGACCGCCCAGAACAGGAAGCGTCCTGTCAAAGAACCCTCCAGCTCCCAGAGGGACCATGGACTCCGGCCCACAAGCTCAACCTCGAAAGATGGACCCAAAGGCTGTACTCTAAGATGCTGGGAGCCACAGAAAGAACCAGAGAAAAGCCCGGTCATGAGGGGCAGGAGTGATAGTGACACAGTGGGCAGAGTGTTGACCTTGCATGTAACTGTCCCCACTTCAGTCCCTGCCACCCGTACGGTCCCTCCAGCGGGGTGTGGCCCAAAAACAAATCAATAAAAGCCCAGATAAGAAAACTCAGTGCTAAGATGGGGCCACCTGCCACTTGCTGCTCCTCCTGAGCACGAGGGTGTCCTGTTTGAGCCGGCTGGGCAACCCCATGGCCCCATCCCCACATCGCCCCCTTTGGCTGCTGCTGGCCATGAGTCGCGACCCTCCTGTGGGACAGATTCTCCCTGGCGAGCCTGGCTCCTCAGAGCTGTCCCCGTCTGGTGGGAGTGCAGAAAGAGGCACTCCCCACCCCCTCTGTGCCATGACGGTGATGCTCCAGCCACATCCCCATCTCCCCTTCCTGCTGCCACTGGGGCTCCCGGGCCCCTTCTGCCTCTTCCCGAGTCGGGGGTGCCCCCGACCTGAGTGGGGTCTCCTCCTGGTCCGGCTCTCTCCTTCTGCCATCCTTGCTTTCTGCTGCCCCGGAGGTGTCGCGGCCACCACGGTCCGGCCCGCTGGGGCTTGGCCCTGAATCTCTCCTGTGTGTGCGCACGTGTGTCCTTTCCTGCTCCAGGTTTGACTTTGAGGGTCTGGAGAGTGGTGACGATGGTGCCTTTGACAAGCTTCGCTCCTGGAGCAGGTCCATCGAGGACCTGCAGCCCCCCAGCGCCCTGTCCGCCCCCTTCACCAACAGCCTCGCTCGCTCTGCACGCCAGTCTGTGCTCCGGTATGTGCTCGCTCTGCGCCCCCCGCCCCCCGCCAGGTCTTGGGTCCCAGCGGTGAGTGCAGCGCTCATGCTCCTCCCTCCACTCTTTGCTTCCAGGCCTCTCTTGCCTTTGCCTGCCCGTCTCTCTCTGGTCTGTCCTCTCTGTCTCCTTGATTCTGCCCAGCGGTCTGTCCTGGGTAAGTACGTCACCCTCCGCTGCGCCCACCCCGCCTGGGTGTCCAGTGCTCCCCTCTCTTCCGCCTCTCTCTGGGGACCTCTCCACTTGGCTGTCTCGCCGCCCTTCCTCCCTCCGCGCCTCCGGGCAGGCTAGTCCTTGCCCCGTTCTGAGCCTTCAGGCGACCCGCGTCCCCTCCCGTCTCTGTCCAGATCTGCGTCCGGCCCCTCGGCTGCTTCACACCACCCCACCTGCCCTCGGCTTGCCCCCACAGCTTCCTTGACCCCTCTCTTTCTCAGGCTGCCCTGTCCATCCGCAGTGTCCTCAGAAGCAGGTGGAGGGACCAGATGACTCCTCAGAGCCCGGCCACCCCAGCCGGCCGGGCTTAGGGCCTGAGGTCCCTCCTGTGCTCTGTCTCTCCCGGCTGGACTTTTCTTCTAGCCTCTGGGTTCAGCCCTCTGACCTGCTCATCCTTCTCGTCATGCGCGATCACAGACCATTGGCCCTTCCCTCTTTCATGAAGCCTCACGGAGGGGGTCGGTGCATGTGCAAAGTCAGATGCGTCTCCTAAGGCCCGGGGTTCGCGCTGCCTCCTCGGAGACCTATGCAGCGGGTGGGAGCCAGGATGCCCCGGTGTGGTATGGAGCGGGAGGGACGGCGCGAAGGTGCCTCCCTGCCCCGTAGAGAGGACGGAGAAGGGTCCAGAGCTGCTTTGTGTGTTTTGGAGGTGCTGCGGGCTCAGGATGGTCGGACGCAGCTCCTGCAGCCTGACTCTGCACGAATGGTGCGAGCTCCGTTCCCCTTTTCCTGCTTTCTGGGTGACGGGGAGCAAGGCTGGGCTCTCACCAGCCACTCTCCCCGCAGATACAGCACCCTCCCGGGGCGCAGGGCCCTGAAGAACTCGCGCCTCGTGAGCCAGAAGGACGACGTCCACGTCTGCATCCTCTGCCTCAGGGCCATCATGAACTACCAGGTGAGGCTCCCCCGCGCTCCCCCTGCAGCGTGCAGCTAGGCAGAGCCGGAAGCTGCTCCCCACGCCCCCGGCCTCCCTCCGTTCATCCGATTTTCACCTCCCTGCAGTATGGATTCAACCTGGTCATGTCCCACCCCCACGCTGTCAATGAGATCGCGCTCAGTCTCAACAACAAGAACCCCAGGTAAGTGCCCCCAGCCCACTCCTCTGCCCTGGGCTCTGGAGGCCAAGTGCGGCTTCACCCCAGCCGCACTGACACCCGGCCCCGGGGCGCTGTGGTATCTCTCCCCTGCTGCTGGGAGAGTGTCCCCGGTCCGCACATCCTGGTGTAGGAGCAAGCCTTCCTTCCCTGCCTTGTTGTTTTCTTGTTTTCTTTTTGGGGTCACACTCAGCCATTGCTATGGGGCTAGTCCTGGCTCAGTGATGAGTGCGGTCACTCTTGGCAGTATTGGGGAGATCATATAGGATCAAACCTGGGCCTCCCACACGTAAAGCATGTGCTCCAGCCCTTTGAGCCTAATATTTTATTTTTCACGTATGCCTGTGTTTTGCCAGAGATCAAACCCAGAACCTCATATATGCAAGGAACGTCCCTGCCTTTTCCCCCAAACCCACTCTCACCCCTTCAATGAGGCTGTCTCTGTCCTGCAGGGACTTGGAAATGAGCTGTGCAGTGGCCGGAGTGGGAGGCTAAGAGGTTCATCTCTTTTTTCATTCCTAGAACCAAAGCCCTTGTCCTGGAGCTCCTGGCAGCCGTGTGTTTGGTGCGGGGAGGTCATGAAATCATTCTTGCCGCCTTTGACAATTTCAAAGAGGTCTGTCGTGTGTGTGTGTGTGTGTGTGTGTGTGTGTGTGTGTGTGTGTGTGTGTGTGTGTGTCCCCTTCTTCCTGTATTTTCATGCATCCCAGTGCTGAGTTAAACAAGCTGCCCCACTTTTTTTTTCTTAAGTGAAGCAAAATATTTTTAAGACTCTCAATAAGAGAGTTGGGCTGGAACAGTACAGTGGGTAGGACACTTGCCTTGCATGCGACCAATCCGGATTCAGTCCCTGGCATCTCATATGGTCCTGAGCACTGCCAGGAGCAATTCCTGAGTGCAGGGCTAAGGTGCCAGGCCACTCCATGGCATCGCTGGGAGTGGCCCCAAAACAAAAACAGAAAAAGAAAAATATAAACAACTTAGAGATGTCAGGGGAGAAAAAGAGGGATACATTCAAAAGAAAACACAAGCTTCTCCAGAAATGGAAAAAGCCTCTTTAAAAGGAAAACACACAAAGGACAAAATAAAACAACAAACCAGTGTCAGGATAGAACCCAGGGCCTCACACATGCAAGTGCTCTCCCACTGAGCCACATCTCTGACCCCAACCTTTTTTTTTTTTAAAGCAAAAAACAGAATTTCCATCTTACTGTGTCTTATGCTAGGAGGCCTCCTGGTTTGCCACCTGAGGGTGCCTGGGTGTTCGGGGGCTCTCCCTGGGCCCCGCCTGGAGAGCTCGTCAGTGCTGGCCACCCCTGGCAGGCGTCCCCATGGGCCTGAGGCAGTGAGCACACACTGTTAGAGGCACAGCAGGGGATATAGAGTTGGAGGAGAGGCTGGCGGGGACCTCCTGGTTTTGGGATGTGACTGGGGAGGGGCAGTGTGGGCCCACTTGGAATTTCCCCAACTTCTGAGCTGGACTGTGAAGCCCCCACCTGACTGAGCTGAGGATTCCTCGACGTCTACCCCCAGCTGCTGGCCGCACCTCTTCCTCCTCCTTGGACCTCTTCCCTAGCAGCCATTGTTTGAGCCAGGAAATGCCTCTTCCTCCTTGAAGCCAGAAGCTCAGAGGAGTCTGTGCAGCCCTCTCCTAGCACAGGGCCCTTCCTGCACCCTGGCCTCTCCTGTGTCCCCTCTAGGACCTCAGTCCCCCCGCCCCCCGCCTTACTCATGGCTTATTCGCCTTCCTTTCCCCCCTTCCCCTTCAGTAACCCAACCATAGCAGGTCTTTGATTTGGCCTTACGTGTCAGAATGGAGACCTTACGTCTCAGACCTGCAGAGCACACGCTTTGTGAAGAGCCCTATCAGCTCCACGACCAACCTTTTTGTGTTTTCTCCTGGTCTGATCCCCTAAGCAGATCCCAAGGCCGTAGGCTTTCTTAGCTCTCAACAAACTGGTGGGAGCCAAAGCAGGCTTGTTTCTAGAGTGTCCCGAAGGCCCGTTGGATATAGTGGGGATTAATACTAGTTTGGACCAGTCCCATTGCCATGATGTTCCTGGGAGACTGGTGTAGACCCTTTCACAGAGAAAGTCTGCTTGTTCAGGTCTGCAAGGAGCTGCATCGCTTTGAGAAGCTGATGGAGTATTTCCAGAATGAGGACAGCAACATCGACTTCATGGTGAGCAGCTGGGCCTGGGCCAAGCGGATCCCCAGCAGGGGCCAGACCACCAGTGCAATTTGAGTCTGGAAAACGTCGGATAATTCTTGCCGTTCGGTTTCTTGTCCAGTAACTCACCTCAGAAAGTTTTTAGAAAGTTGTCTGTTTCAAGTTTCATTTCTTCCCTCATTTTTGTGGCCGTACTGTCTTCCGATCTGGATCCTTCCTGGGCTGCTTTTCTATTTTTGGTTGTTGGGTCATACCCAGCAGTATTCAGCGCTTACTCCTGGCTCTGCACTCGGATCAGTTCCTGGCAGGGCTCAAAGGAACATAATGGGGTGCCAGGGATTGAACCTGGATTCAGGCAAGGGCCCTTCCCGCTGTACTGTCTCTCTGCCCCCCTGAGCTGCTTTTTTGTTCTCAGTCTCTTTCTCTAACGTCTCTTCAGCCACAGACACGGCTCTGTAAGTTACCTCAAGTACCAGCAAAAATACTCATTTGGAGAGCTATATTTTTATTCACGTGACTTTCCTATATAATTTACTTGTCTTGGCATACCGAATAATAAGGTCGATGTTTTTTAAGGTAAAATACTCCCTGAAAGACTGGACTTTATAAAGTTCTTTCCTTTTGATCCCCCACCTGATGATAACAGGTCTAATCCCAATCTCCTCCCTGTCTCCATCTCTCCTTGCCCTTCCTGCCTTTACACCACCCCCCCGCCGGCCCTGCCCCAGGTGGCCTGCATGCAGTTTATCAACATTGTGGTACACTCAGTGGAGGACATGAACTTCCGGGTCCACCTGCAGTATGAGTTCACCAAACTGGGGCTGGAGGAGTTCCTGCAGGTGAGTGGGCTTGATGCAGACCAAGGAGCCGCAGACCACGTTCCATTAAGAAAACACAAAGTTTTCTTTCCTACGAGCTCAGTTGTGGTTGTCTCTGAACTGACTTGGGGTTCAGGTCCTGTTGCAGAGGGGGCTCTCCAGTCAGGCAGCTGGAGGGGGATGTGGGGGCCAGACTGACAGCTGGAACTGTGGGAACTACCCGAGTTTCATATTCGAGAAGGCGGTCACGGAGGTGGGGGTGAAGGGTTTTTCTCAGGAGGTTCATCGTCCCGCGCCTCCTCCCTGTCTCTCTGCCATTGCCCAGAAGTCACGGCACACGGAAAGCGAGAAGCTGCAAGTACAGATTCAGGCCTACCTGGACAACGTGTTTGATGTCGGGGGGTTATTGGAGGACGCGGAGACCAAGAACGTGGCCCTAGAGAAGGTGGAGGAGCTGGAGGAGCATGTGTCCCAAGTACGTGGTCCTGCTTAGCCACCAGAACCAGTCGGGGGGAGCGGGGAGGGCAAGGATGTGGACAGATGTTGCAAGAATCCTGCGCTGATCCATTGCCTTCAGAGAGAGCCCCAGGGAAACCTTCTGACCCCACTGGGTTCTTAAGCGCCTGCTGTGATTGAGGACTGCCCACAGATGGGCACTGACCCCCACTTCTCGCACGGCCCTTGGTGGTTCAGTCAGGCTTGGGATTCAGACTGTGCTGAGTGCCCAGGCTTGAGGGTCAATCCAGAACCTTCCTCGTGTAGCTTACAGAGAAGCTTCTGGATCTAGAGAATGAGAACATGATGCGGGTAGCAGAATTGGAGAAACAGCTGTTGCAGCGGGAGAAGGAACTGGAGAGCATCAAGGTACCTCGGTCTGGGAGGGGAGGACCTGGTGGGCCCAGGGGCAGAGTCTAGGGACTTCGTTCTTTTTCCTAAGACTTTTCCCCCGAAAGAGCACTTGGTGAGGGTGTGCTGATGATTTTACCCCATGTTTTGGCTGGAGAAGGAAGATGAAGCCAGAGCGAACTGCATCCATGCAAGAGGTGGGGCGGGTAGTGCTCCCACCGGAGTCCAGGCCGTCTCCCTCTCCAGAGCCTTCCCCTCTCCTGCGCTTGCTGGCAGGTGTTCTGGACTGTTACCTGAGAAATGCGCCTGGTGCCCTGAGTGGGAAGTACAAGGCCACCTCCGATTTTAATGTCTTCTCTGCCCCTCCTCTGACTTCGTGTTGGTTATAAAGTCATATCCCAGCCGACCTTTCCCCCAAAGAAATACAGCACCACTGGTCTGCGAAGCACAGTGTGTGACTACCCTGATGGCCAAGAGTCCGGAGCACTGTATGGGGAGTTACAGCAGGGTCTGGTCCCAGGGGGCCTCTCAAATGAAGTGAGAGCTGCAGAGCAACAGAGGCGCCCATGATGGGGAGAACAGCAACGCGCAGCCTCCCCGGGCCTTGCATGACCAGCTGGCTGACTGAGGGGCTGGGATGGGAGGCGGGCAGCGGGGCCCTCGGCTGTGCACCGAGGCATTCTGACTTTTCTGGGTTTCTTGGTGGGGGGGCGTTGTTTGGGGGCCATACTTACAGTGCTCAGAGCTAACTCCTGGCTCTGCCCTCAGAAATCAGTCCTGGCAGCCCTCAGGGGTGCTGGGCATCAAACTTAGGTTGCAGAGACGGTGCCTTTCCGCTCCGTGGGAAGGCTGTAGGCCCATCCCGGCACACTGATTCTTCTGCCCACAACTTAGTTCTTTTGTATTCTAGCTTCCCTTGATCCCTGCCCGGGTTTCTACCACTTTCTGCTTCTGAGCACCTTCCCGAGACTGTTGAGAGACTTTGGGGCTGGAAGTCTCCTGGGGGCACGTCCTGTCCATCCCTTTCACCATCACTTCCGTAACGGTGCTGCCTGCCCCGTAGGAGACGTACGAGAACACCAGCCACCAGGTCCACACCCTGCGGCGGCTCATTAAGGAGAAGGAGGAGGCCTTCCAGCGCCGCTGCCACCTGGAGCCCGGGGCCCGGGGCCCGGAGGCGGCGGGCAGTGAGGCCCTGGCCCGAGTGGGCCCTGCGGAGCAGAGCGAGGGCCTGCCGCCCTCCGAACTGGACCTCCTGGCTCCTGCCCCGGCCCCCGAGGAGGCCCTACCTCTGCCTCCACCACCAGCCCCTCCCTTGCCCCCTCCACCGCCCCCATTACCAGGTAAGCAGGACCCAGGGAGATGGGAGGGCGGCCAGACCAGAGCCCCAGTCAGCACCGGGGAAGCTGGGATGCGGCTGAGCGAGGGCTCCTAGGGCAGGGCTCTAAGGACAGAGTCCTCTGAAGAGAGCCCGAGCGGGAGTGTCAGAATAGGGGCTGGAGCGATAGCACAGCGGTAGGGCGTTTGCCTTGCACGTGGCCAACCCAGGTTCGATTCCCAGCATCCCGTATGATCCCCTGAGCACCGCCAGGAGTAACTCCTGAGTGCAGAGCCAGGAGGAACCCCTGTGCATCGCCAGGTGTGACAACCCCCCCTTCCCCCCCAAAAAAGACGGAGTATCAGACTAGCAAGGTAGGTAGGGCCTGGGCTGGGAGAGCAGAAACAGGACTTCCTGCCAGGTCCTTCCCTGAGGGTCTTTCAGGATGAGTGGTGGGCAGAGGGAGTGGCCTGAGGAATCTCTGGGCGTTTCTTCTTCCTCCAGGCAAGTGTCCTCCAGCCCCTCCTCTCCCTGGCGCTGCGCCCTCTGTGGTATTGACAGTAGGCCTGTCAGGTGAGTGAGTGGCGCAGATCCTGGGCGGGCCTAGCAGCAGCAGGGAGTCCTTGCCTCATGGGTCCCCTTTCTTCACACTAGCCATTCGCATCAAGAAACCTATCAAGACCAAGTTCCGGCTGCCTGTCTTCAACTGGACAGCGCTGAAACCCAACCAGATCAGTGGCACGGTTTTCAGTGAACTCGATGATGAAAGGGTCTTGGAGGTAGCAAGGCTTGGGAGCCAGAGGGAGGGGGTTGGGGGCACCCTAGTTACTCCGTGAGTAAATCTCCTAACCTTGGGAAAACTGGGCTGAGCCCACACAGCCAGGGGGCCCTTGGTCATGTGAGGCCACAACAGTTTCCCTTCCCATCACTCCTGCCAGGACCTGGACCTGGATAAGTTTGAAGAACTGTTCAAGACAAAAGCTCAGGGCCCTGCACTTGACCTCATCTGTTCCAAGAACAAGACAGCTCAAAAGGCTGCCAGCAAGGTTACCCTGTTGGAGGCCAATCGTGCCAAGAATCTGGCAATCACCCTGCGCAAGGCTGGCCGCTCAGCTGAGGAGATCTGCAGGGCCATCCACACGTGAGCAGTCCCTGTCCCGGCCCTAGTTCCAAGCTGGCCGGCACTCCCATTCTCGACCTGGGGACCTGGTCTCCCTGGCCTCTGACAGAGCTGCCTTGTGTCCTTCAGTCATCCTCTGGTTTGGCCAGAAAACACTGTCCATGCTGTGTGCTGGGGTGTGTGTGGGGCTCAGCCAGCACCTTCACTCAGTGCCGAGGGGGCAGAGAGGCAGGACACTTTGGGGGGGCTAGCTAGCTGAGGCTGATGATCAGAGAAGGGTGCCCAGAGGAGGCGATAACTTACTCCCAACTTGCTGCATGACATCGACTGTGGCTTTAGAGTCGTGGAGGGCGGCGGGGAGACAAGGAGGGGTATTCTGGCACAATGGACCTCCTGAGCCTCACTCACATTTAAGATTTCCGAGGCGCAAAATAGTAAAGTAAAGGCCCTCCCGTTGATCGTCGATTTGCTCGAGCGGGCCCAGTAACGTCTCCATCATGAGACTTGTTGTTACTGTGTTTGGCATATCGAATACGTCACGGGGAGCTTGCCAGGCTCTGCCGTGCGGGCGGGATACTCTCGGTAGCTTGCCAGGCTCTCCGAGAGGGGCGCAAAATAGAATGTCTAGGATATTGAGGGGCCTTTCAGCAAGATGTGAACTGGGCCTCTTGGACTGTCACTGGAAGATGAAGCACTGGTTCCTCGCTCCGTGTCGCTCACTGCTCCCTCCTCAGTCCTTTCAGAAGCTGGAGAATGAAAGGGGTGGCTGGCAGTATGGGCACGTTTGAAACCCGAAGTGGAGACTGGTGAAGGGATTGGTGTTGGCGTACTGGATGCTCGGAGCTCAGTCCTGAGTAACTGTACATCAGTTTAAACCAAGCAGCCCTGAAGTGGCCATTCCGTCCTGCGCAGGTTCGACCTCCAGACGCTGCCTGTGGACTTCGTGGAGTGCCTGATGCGCTTCCTGCCGACGGAGGCCGAGGTGAAGCTGCTGCGGCAGTACGAGCGGGAGCGGCAGCCCCTGGAGGAGCTGGCCGCCGAGGACCGCTTCATGCTTCTCTTCAGCAAGGTGGAGCGGCTCACCCAGAGAATGGCGGGCATGGCTTTCCTGGGGAACTTCCAGGACAACCTGCAGATGCTCACGCCGGTACGACCCCCAGCCAGCCAGGAGCAGCTCGTCTTCTGTCCCGCCAGCCTCCCCGCTCCTTTCTGAAGGGGCCCCGGGCCCAGGGTTCATCCACTCTTCGTCTTACTTTCCAGCAACTCAATGCCATCATTGCCGCCTCCGCGTCAGTCAAGTCCTCACAGAAACTGAAGCAGATGTTGGAGGTGAGGAGAGGCTGTGGATGGGCACGGGGGTGGGTGGGTGGGTGGGTGGGGCGCCCATGGCTGTCCAGAGAAGGTGAAGGAGCCATGGGTTCCCCTCCCCGCTGCATCTCGTACCCAGATCATCCTTGCGCTGGGGAACTACATGAACAGCAGCAAGCGGGGAGCCGTGTATGGCTTCAAGCTCCAGAGCCTGGACCTGGTGAGATGGTGGGCTGCCAGTTAGGCCGAGGGGCAGCAGTGGTCGGACCAGGGCTCGAGCCCTCACATTGCCCCCGTCCTGCTCTCCCAGCTGCTGGACACCAAGTCCACTGACAGGAAGATGACCTTGCTACATTTCATCGCCTTGACCGTGAAGGAGAAATACCCAGAGCTGGCCAACTTCTGGCATGAGCTGCACTTTGTGGAGAAGGCTGCGGCAGGTGAGTGGAGCCCGCCCTCGTGTCCAGCCAGGACAGTCCCAGGAAGCCGTGCCCAGAGTGGAACACTTGGGGCCCTTTGTGACTACTGTGTTGTCGTTCTGACCACTTCAGAGCTTTCCGCTGGGCTCTGAGCGGGGGCCACCTAGAGGAGGCCTGCCCACCCAGAGGACTGCCCAGTCGCTCTGGACTCCTGTCTTCTGGGTTGGCCCCAAGTCGCTACTCCAGGGCGTATGGGAAATGCTTAGGAAAAAAAAAAAAAACAGAAAACAACGCCCCCCACCCCAAGGCATAAGGCAGGAGTCAGAATAAAAGACTTGTTGCTTGAGCTCATTATTTTGCATGTGGGAGACCTGCGTCTCAGCCCTACGCTGGACCCCGTGGACCCCCAAGCGTCAAGCGAGGAGTAGCCCCCGAGCATCTCCGGGTGTGGCTCAAAAACAAACAAAAAAGGCCTAAGGTAGTTGTTAGGCTTGCCCCAGTTTCGGGTCGGCCCGAGGCAGCCTGTTTTGAAGACTGGTCTCTCTGGCTTGTTTTCCTCCGCTACCTTGCTATTTGGGGGGCCTGTGCTCACAGCCCCATTTCTTTCCTTCGCCTCTGGGAGAGCCCAGCTCGCTTGGTGTGCTTCTCTGCACACAGGAAACTGGGGCAGGCGGAGCCAAGGATACTCATGCAGAGAGGGAGGGCATGCAGAGAATTTCCTGCAGCCCTGGGGGGGCCTCAGCCAGGGCTCTGATGACCACAGTGTCCCTGGAGAACGTGCTGCTGGACGTCAAGGAGCTGGGCCGGGGCATGGAGCTGATTCGGCGTGAGTGCAGCATACACGACCACAGCGTCCTTCGGAGCTTCCTCGGCACCAACGAGGGCAAACTGGACAAGCTGCAGCGCGATGCCAAGACAGCTGAGGCGAGCGCAGGAGGGTAGTGGCGGTGGGTGGGGAACAGCACCAGGATACTGTGTCCTTCTGTGATCACCTTCCTCATCTTGGGTCAAAGAACTTCCCAAGGGATTGGCCACTGGTATTGAGGCAGAGGGTAGGGGGGCTGGCCTGCTCCTTCCTCGTCAGACTGACCCCCCCCCACCCCGACACCCCTCTTCAGGAGGCCTACAATGCTGTTGTTCGCTACTTCGGTGAGAGTCCCAAGACCACGCCTCCTTCTGTGTTCTTCCCAGTCTTTGTCCGGTTCATTCGTTCTTACAAGGTAAGTGGAGGAGAGACTTTAAAAAGGCATTCGGCGCAGAGAAAGCTAGTCGTAAAGGAAAAGGCTGGGCTTCAAGTCTGGGCTTTTCCATCCCCAGTGAGTTCTAGGAGGCAGGGATGGAAGCTGGCCGCGGGCCTCTTAGCTGTGAACTGGTGGGCAGGGCGGGGGCCCAGGCCCTTCCTGTCATTGTTTGGAGCAGGAAGTGCCCCTCCAGCGGGTGGCCACCTGGGGTTAGCAGCCCCACTGCCACCCACTCTCCACCCTGTGTCAGCCCCTCCCCTCGCAGCCTGTGTGAACCTCACCTCGCCCTACCTTCTGTGGCTCTAGGAAGCGGAGCAGGAGAACGAAGCTCGCAAGAAACAGGAGGAGGTCATGCGGGAGAAGCAGCTGGCTCAGGAAGCCAAGAAGCTGGATGCCAAGGTGGGTGGGACCCAAAGCAGGGCCGGAGCAGGAAGCCCACTGAGGGTCTGAGGCTGGAGTCCGGGGGACCGCGAGAGGGCTTGTTCCCACACCGCGTCCTGCCACTGACCCCCCGACTCCCTTTCCTCTGCCAATGCTTGGCTCTAGTCCCCATCCCAGCGGAACAAGTGGCAGCAGCAGGAACTGATCGCAGAGTTGAGGCGGCGCCAAGCCAAGGAGCACCGGCCTGTCTACGAAGGGAAAGATGGCACCATCGAGGACATTATCACAGGTATGGCTCTTTCCCCGCACTGGGCTCATTCCACACCCCAGCAGTACTCTCCTTGGGCCTTACCACTGTGTCTCTCTCCTGGGCCACAGTGCTGAAGAGTGTCCCTTTCACGGCCCGCACTGCCAAGCGGGGCTCACGCTTCTTCTGTGATGCAGCCCATCATGATGAGTCAAACTGTTAGCCCTTGGACAGGTACTGGGCAACACAGCTCCCTCTGCATGCCCACTCCCCAGGACTCCTCAGAGGCCCAGCCTCTCCTCCCCTGCATGACTTGGAAGCAGCCCCTGGAGCCTTGTGCTGACGGGCCACATGCTTCTCTCCCTGCATGCCTTACATCTGGAGAAGTGTGACACACCCCCTGCATGTGCCCTTAAGGAAGTGGTCTGTGTCCTACTAATGCTGTCCTGGCTTCTACTAAGACCCAGTCGGGAGCCGCCCAAGCTGGGGCCAGCGCCGTGGCTGGGCAGGCCGGCTGGCCTCCGGAGCGCTGAGGCTCTGCTGCTGGGCCGGTAGCCTCCGTCCCCGGGGCCTTCTGCACCGGCTGTCCCTGGCCCACCTCTCCCAGCTTCTGGCCCTTACTGAGCCTGCATTTTTCTGGCCATTCTCCAGTGGCTCCAGATCGGAAAATGCAAAGCCCAGCCCCCCTGCCCGTGCCTCCTGCCTCTCCCGGGCCTTGCCTGTGGGACTGCTCCTTGAAGGTGCCGTTTCTGCTGTCTTGTCATCGTGCTGCAGCTCGTCCAGGCTGCCTTCACTAGTGCCGAGGAAGTCCCGAAGGACGCCGTGGTCGTGGACGCTGCACGCACGTGCACGCTCCATCCCCTCCGGCCTCCCACGTCTTCTCACCCTTTTCCCCACAGGCCTTCATCACCAGCCCATTGCCGTCCGCCACCAAGCCAGGAGTGCTGCCGCGTCCAGTGCCCTCCCTCGGGCTCCCGGCCCCCACTGAGACCCTCGTGGTGGCAGAAGCACTTCAGCTCCCTGAGTCCTGCCAGCCCCAGCATCAGCCCAGGCCCCACGCAGAGATGCTGCTCTTGCCCGTGTGCAGCCCACCGTGGGCACTGGGTCTTCTGGGCTCCGGCACTTCCCTGGGCCTCCAGTACTGCACTTTGCCCTCAGTCTTCAACTTCATTCCCTGCAGGGCCCCTCGGCTGGAGAAAACCAGCCCCAGCGCAGACGCAAATAGCATCAGAGACCCCGTCTCCTGAGCCAGAGGGATGAAAGGAAGAAGCAACCCTTGCCCCGCTTCTGGCTTACGGGCCCGGGGTTGGCTGTGGTTTGGAAGCGTCCGTCTTGGGAAGAAGCCCTTGCCAGGGTCGGATCAGATCCTCTTACCAGGAGCAAAGCTCCCCCTGCCTCGATGCGCCCAGTGAGGATAGCGCGGTGCCACCCTCACTACCCTGTCCCTTGGCTCTCCTCACGCTAGGCCATCCTTGTTGAACTGAGCGAGGGGTACAACCTTCTCTGCGCCACCCCCACGCTGGCTGGAGAAAGGGCATGGTCGCAGCATCTCACGACCGTGGCTAGGTGTTTTTTGGAGCAGAGGGCAGGGGATGTGATGGTCGGATCTCAGGGGGCCATATGGGATGCCGGGGATGGAACCCAGGTCGGTCATGTGCAGAGTCAACACCCTCCCTGCTGTACTGTCACCCCAGCCCCTGGGGTCTGTCCCTTTTTGTACATGTACCACGTCCTTCTCTTTGTACAGATACCCAGACCTCTCCTTTTAACAAAGGCTTAAAGCACCAAGCCTGCCTCTGTCTCCTCCTTATGACGGTGGGAAAACTCGGGGAACTGAGCCTGGGAATGAAAAGGAGCCCGAGCAGTCTGTTCACTGCCTGGGGGAGGCGAGCTCAGGCTTGGGCCGGGAACAGACTGGGCGGGTTCCAGCCACACAAAAGGAGGTAGCCCGATGCGATGCGATACACTAGCGCCCCCTGCTGGCCACTGCATCACCCAGCCCAGCCCACCTCGGGATCCTCTGGAGAAGACAAAAGGGCCACCAGCCGTGTTATAAATATTGTTATTTAAAAAACAAAACCAAAACCAAACACACATATATTGGATCCTGGGGCTGAAGGAAGAAGTGTTCTTAGAACCCCAGGGCCCGGGCAGGCAGGAGCAGGCACTGATGCTAGAGGGTAACCCTACCCTCCACCAGCCAGTCACACTTCCCCTCGAGGCCCCCTCTCGTCTTTTTATCTACTGGTACCACCCACCCCGCATGGCATCTGCCACCAATTTCTGCGCTGAGGGCAAGGACTGCACTAATTGTCCGGGAAGTCGGGACCCTTGAACACTAAGAGCAACCTCAAGGCCTGGCTGGCAATGGTGTGAGGGTGGGATCATCTGAGGAAAAGTGGGCCCAGAGCAGACCAGGAAGGTGTCTGAGGCAGATGGCGAGGGTGACCTCAGAGCCACAGCCTCGCAGACCCGAGGCAGGTGGCTCGCTGGGTCACTGGTGGTCATCCAGCTGCTGCAGGAGTGTCCGCCGCCGCCTTTCCAGCTCCCCCTCGCTCAGCTCGCTCTCTGACGTGTCCCAGCCCGTCTGGTGAAGCAAAGGCACCGTTCACCCAAAGCCCCCCCAAGGGCCGCAGTCTGCACAGTACTGAGTGGGCCAGGGATGGCGCCCACCTCTCACCTTCTCCTTCTTGACTCCAAAGCCTGGGGAGCGGTTGAGGAGCTCTGTCCGCTGGAGCTCACTGTCCTTGTCCTGTTCTGGTTCTTTCTCATCACTCTCCTTGCCAGCTTTCTCCTCAGGGTCTGTCTCACTCTCAGGGCTGTTCTGTAAGAGCGCAGAGCCCGCCGCCTCAGTTCCCTCCGCCAGGAGGCGGCTGGAAGAACTGTCACAAAATAGCAGGGCCGTGGGCAGAAGTTCCTTCTCTACGCACCGACTTGTGTCTTCTCTTCTTGGTCTTCTTTTTTGGCTTCTTGGCTTTCCGAAGGCCGTGATCTGGATACAGAACAATCCCCGCTTCGTTCCAAGAAAGAAGGGAGGGTTCGTCTCCCTGCCTTCAGCTATCTGTTCCTTCTCTGGGTAGCTGCCTGCCTGTGAGAAGTCTGCAGGGGCAGCCCAGCCAATCCATTCTGCTGGCCTCACGGAAGCCGATTTGCCGATGCCTCGCGACCCAAACCAACATTCCTAGCAACTCCTTACCTGATCCAAGGAGAACACGGGAGGATGGGGAGCCCCGAACTCCGACGGCAGCGCCCCCGCTTTCAACCGAATCAAGTGACGAAGAGGGGTCGGAGCCTGACTCTGAGGGGTTCTGCCTTCTCCGCTTGGGAGGCCGGAGAGACGGTGGGGGCAGCTCCTCCTCCTCTGACTCAGAGCCCTGACAAATCAGCAGACATGTCATCACCACAGAGGTTCTGCGGCTTTGAAGTCCTCGAGTCTCAAAGTCGGGGACATACAGCCAGAATCCTCAAATCTCTAAGGGGGTGGTGATCCAGGAGAAAAGTAAACAGTTCTTCCTTCCTTCCTTCCCAGGGCAACCCAACCGCTTCCCAACTCACCGAGGGCGAATGGGAACGCTTGCGATGGTGCTTCTTGCCCTTTCTGTTATGCTTCCGGCCTTTGGTGTGGAGGTGCTGGCACTCGGTCTGGCAGGAGCAGAAGCAGGGACGAGAAGGCAGCGAGTTAGCCCCGGGAGGGACCCTGCCACTACAAATCTGCTCTTGCCCGTCTCTTTGGCTAGGGTCTCAGTTCCACAGTTCTCTCCCACAGCACCCTAAAGTCCTCCCTTCCTTAGTTGGCGAGGCAATGGAGTGCCCAAGGCAGGGGGTGTCACTGAGGTCTCTGAGGAGCTGGTCTGGCGTGCCTGGGAGAGGCAGGGGACCTGAAGCTCTGCCTTACCTCTAGTACCTGCAGGAACTCCCTGAAGAGCCGGATCCGCTCCGACTCCAGGGTGATCTGCTCAAAGGCTGAGTCGCACGCAAAGCGCTCACGGACCTTTAACGAGGAGAGCACTGCTGATCAGACCGACCCCGGCATGGCACGGACGCCGCCATGAGCACAGGGCAGGGCTGGGGCAGAGGAAGGAAGGGAGCCGGAGTGGCCCAGAGCTTTGCCCTGACTGGAGCGGGCCCCCGGGGGTGGCGAAGCACCGCTGTCCTCAGGATGGAGGGGGTGGTGGTTGGTGCGCCGGGCTGCAGTCCTGACCTCTTCCCAGGCAGTGCCCAGCTCCAGAGCGGGCACGGCCTGTCTCAGCATGCTTCGAAAGGCAGCTTCCCTGCGCCGCATCCTCCGTGCCTCCTCCTTCTCCCGCTCTCTCTCCCGCGCCTCTGCTTTCTCCAGCAGCTGCAGGCAGAACGGAGACAGAACGGGGTCACCTCGCGGGGAGCACACCCAGGCCCCGGCAAAACATTCCTTGGGAGGCAGGAGCTGGCCTCCTGTCACTCCCCGGGTAGGGTAAGTCACGTGGGTGGGACTAGGAGGAGTGACTCAAGACAGGGAAGAGGTGCCCGGCGCTGCCTCTCACACTATTAAAGGTCAGCTTGATGTTGCCTGCGTCCAGCGCAGCAGCCCTCTTGTCAAAGCTTATGACGTGGGCGAAGTCCTCAAAGGCCGTGTTCACCTCCACGCAGAAGCCCCGGTCCTGTGGGCACAGCAGCACATTAGTAGGGGGGTACCACCAACCTGAGGCGCAAAGCTCAGACTCTAGGATGTGCACTAAGCCCCCCTGTACCCACAAGAAATATGCAAGACGGGCTCACACTTAAGAAACCATGTCCCCGTGGCTGGAGCAACAGCACAGCGGTAGGGCGTTTGCCTTGCACGCGGCCAACCCGAGTTTGATTCCCAGCATCCCATATGCTTCCCCAAGCACCGCCAGGAGTAATTCCTGAGTGCAAAGCCAGGAGTAACCCTTGTACATCGCCGAGTGTGACCCCCTCCGCCCCCTTCCCCCCCAAAAAAAGAAACCAAGTCCTTGCCATCTGAGGAGTAAAGCCCTTGGGCAAACCACTTGGTTCAGCTGTCACAGGGACTAGGGGTGGGAAGCACATATGTGTGCGTGGTTGTGTATCTCCCAGTCTGCAAACTGATCCTGAGTTTCTCGTAATGAGCTCTTTGTTCCTTTGGTTTCAAGCTCCACCTCCCCTGGGCCTCCGTGCGGTCCCCACTGACACTTGTATGGTGGCCTCCACTACTGGCTGTCTACTGGTGATCGTTACTAAGTGTGTGCCAGGAACCACACTCAAAGCCTCACATCCGGCTCATTCAACCCTCAGGTATCTAAACTGAAGCACAGGTCCCAGTCCCCTAGTTTTACGTGGAAGAAGCCAGAGCACTTGCCCTGTTCTGTCCATGGCCTCATTCCTGACATGCAGCTACGCAAGGTCCCTCCTGGTACCTCGAAACCCAAAGGCCATGCTCTTAAACACAACCACGGATCACTTTCTCCACCGGATACACAGAAATGACATCAGAGACCTCACACTTCCAAAGCGTAAGAGGGCAAGCTCACACTGCTCAGATATGCCTCACAACATCCCAACGCAGCAGCTTATGAAAGCTTCTCCCCAGGCTCCAAGATGACACGACGGTACAAGGAGCTATTAGCATTTGAAATTTGGCTAAGAATTTGGCACAAGCCCAGATTCCTACCTCTCCCACGGCTCTCCTTCACAGAAGCATGTTACAAATACATCCTCAACCCATGTTCTGCCCCCTTATCCGTTGTCTTGGAGAACAGAAAGCTTCAACACGGCTTACTGAAAATTGCAATGTGGCTTGCACATCTCAGCCCTTAACCTGGAACATCCTTTCCACACTGGCGCCCGCCTCCTGTAGCTAACCACTTACGTTTTTCTGTTTCAAACTCAAATGCAGCACAAAGGATAGGGAATAATCTGTAAATTTACTGTAAGTAATATACTACAAATAGTAATCTACAGTGGGTATCAGAGTTTGGGACACACCAGCAGTGATCAGGACTAACTCCTGTTCTGTGCTCAGGGATCACTATTGGCAGAGCTCAGCCCTAATATTAAGTATGAGAGATTGAACCAGAGTGAGCGGCATGCAAAGCAAGCACCTAAATCCCCGAACTCTCTCAAGCCCCACAAAGTGTTTGATTCTCAAAACTTGACATACAAATTATCCCCCTTTTATAAATGAGGAAGTAAGGCAGAAACACATGCCCTGCCAAGGTCCCAACCAATCACGAATTAGGCCTAGAGTAACTTAAAGCCTG